CTGAAAAGACTGCATATAATTCTAATCTTTGCTCCTTTCTGCATAAGAAGCCCTGTTCTTTTTTTTTGGCTACTAGTGATCGAACTTGGGTCCTTGTGCTTGTGAGGTGGGAGGCAGAACAACTGAGCTAAATCCCCAGCCCACCTGTTGCTTCTTTTGGGGTATTTTTCTTTACATTTGATTTTCTGTAGTTCGGTAAAACTCTTGAAGACATAGACAAAGACATCCTGAACAGAACCTTGATTGCACAAGATATAATATTAAGAATCAACAAATGGGATTATATCAAGTTTTAAAAACTGCATAGCAAAGGAAACAAACAACAAAGTGAAGAGACAACCTACAGAATGGAAAAAAAAATTTGTCAGCTACACCTCGGAGAGTGGACTAATATCTAGACTATCTGAAGAACTCAAAAATCATATCTCCAAAATAAAAGATCAAATAAAAAATGGAAATGAATATATATATTTCTCCAAAGAAGAAGTACAAATGCCAATAAATGCAGTAAAAATTTTCTGCATCTTTGGCCATTAAGGAAATGCAAAGCAACACTAAGATTCCATCTTACACCAGTAAGAATGGCTGTTATCAAGCACTCAAAAAGCCACAAATATTGGTGAGATTGTGGGGGAAAAGGAATCCTTTCCCATTGTTGGTGGGGCTGTAAAGTAGTGTAACTACTATGGAAATCTGTGGAAATCCCTCAAAAAACTAAAACTAAAAGTTCCATTTGACCCAGCTATTGGTCTTCTGCATATCTTTCTGGAAGTGTCAAAATAATCGTACTATGGTGATATATGCGCATCCATATTTATAGCAGCACAATTCACAATACCTAAACTATGGAAATGATAATGCTATGATATGTGTATGTACCAATCCCCTAAGATGAATATAATTATTATGTATCACAAACACATACTAATAAAAAGAAACTCAAAAAAGAGAGAAAAGAATATATCTAGATACCATTTTGGGAACATTTAGCTTGTTTGGTGTTCTCTGCACTTTCTGGATTTGAGGTTTGGTGTCTGACATTAATTTTGAGAAATTTGCAGTCATTATTAAACTCTCTGTAAACTATATGGCTGTAAAAATGTCAAGATGGAAAAATAATTGTTAGCTCTGTCTTTCTAACCTCAAACACCCCCTTCTTGTGTGCTAGAATAGATGGCTAGATGAATCTGAAGGTAAATTCCCCCACTGCAAAGAACTGTTACGTCTGGGTTTAAGTTAACTATCTTGTGACTGTGATATAAACTGAGGAATGAAACGTAACCACCTATATGAGCTCGTGGCTGCAAGACTCTATAAAAGAAGAAGCTGAAACCCAGTGTGGGAGTTGGTCACTGGCACTGCTTCTTTGAGTGTGATCAACATTTGTCCAAAACTCAGTATATACATTGCAATTAATTGAGGAAATGTGTTCTTGGAAGATAATATGGAGACAGTAAAGGGAGAAGGTCATTGTGCCATCCTAAGTCAGCCGGCAGTTAGCTAAGACAAGAAATTAGAGAAGATTTAGGAATGTAAGGAGTAAGGATATGGAATGAACCGTACCCAATCTGTGGGCATTGACTGGTACCGGCCTAAAGAATCAAGGTCTTCACCAGCTAGTCCAGGGCTGTTTTCTAAGGCTGTATCACAGATATGTTCAAGAATCATGACACCATGGACTTGAGCAGAGGATGGCTTGACACGGATAAGATTAGATCTAGAATACATAGCAACTGACCAACCCAGGGATCATGATAACAGAGCTGAGCCAGAAGCCGTGGGGTGAAGGGAAGCAGCGCACTCAGGAGGGTCCAGAAGCATGGATGGCGTTCTGCCAAAGTATAAATCAAGAAAATGGAAAGATAGGAGCCAAAAGCGTCATCGAATGCCACGCTGAGGAGTTAAGACTGGATCCTCTAAGCAGTGTTTCTGCTAGCATCCCCTGAATAATGCTAGAGACTCTAGGTGACACCAGGTGAGATCAAAATATACAGTGAATTTTAAAGTTTAAGTTTATCACAGTAAAAGGCACATGGCCATGAGTCAACCCCAAAATATTCCCCTTCACTTCAAATACGCTCATCCCATTCTTGCTCTTTCTGAAGCAATTTTGGAAGTCCTCTTTCACGTCTCTCTCTCTCTCTCTTTCTTTCTTGTACCATGGATTGGAGTTGAGTCCTTGCACTTGCAACACAGGTGGTGGAACCTCTGACCTCTTCCATGTCTTTATGAAGCGTGATCAAAATTCAGTGAAATCTCTCTCTCTCTGTCTCTCTTTCTTTCTTGTACCATGGATTGGAGTTGAGTCTTTGCACTTGAAACACAGGTGGTGGAACCTCTGACCTCTTCCATGTCTTTATGAAGCGTGATCAAAATTCAGTGAACCATGCTGCCAAGTGCTGCCCTACAGAGAGGCAGGCTTGCTAAAAACATCACAGCGTGTCCTCATCCACTTTTATTCATGGATCTGGCACCGTGAAATTTCTGGCTCTCCTCAAAGTCAATATGACGTTGAAAGATACTGAATAAGTCTTGAATAGATTCAGGATCTAGAAGCAGTGACAGCAAGAGAGGACTTCTAGAACTGCTTCATATGGTCACAAGAATAATGTGACAAATGCCTCCAAAGTAAGGAAGAGTATTATGAGAGGGATCGATGGCAACACATCTTTTACCTTAATACAGTTTTTAAAAAATTTAATCAGTCACCATATTTGTCAGTCACACCTCATATATCCAGAACAGTCTGGATCTCACTATGTTTGGCTTTGTCTGTTTTGCTCCCAAAGGTTCACAATTCTCTTTAACATATTAAAGATATAGTGACTTCCAATAAGAGAGAAGTTATTGTTTAATGTATCATCAAGAGTTCAGATGGACATGTGCACACACACACATTTACAGACTAGCAATATAAAAACAAGGGACAACAGAAGTGACAGTTTTGTTTATATTGCAATTAGACCACTGAGGTAGTTGAGAAGCCCCTAACTAGAAAACTTCTCCAAATTCTAGTAGGGGAAATGAATAGGGCTGAGGGTTCTGAATCCTTAATGAGAGACTCACGTGAAGGGGCGGGGGTGTGGAGCCATCTTGCCACATGTGTGGGCCTTTTGAATACCATCTCCTTAGGCCAACCCAGTATTCCACACTCTTAAATTGAAAAAATTCTGGGTGAAGAGAAGGCATATTGAGTCAGTAAGGATATGAGGCCTAGGGATTGGGATGGTCCTCCTCACAGAGACTGAGACACAGTGAGCTCCATGGGCAAGGGACATTGTCAACGTAGCAGCTGAATACACTGGCTGAAAGCTCTGGATTGACAGCCATTTGCATTAAGGTGTTCGTGATTAGTCATATTATAGACACCCGAGATACTCAGGCCCCTTGTCTGTAAAATAGAGATAACAATGGCAACTGCCTCCCAGGATCAGTGCAGAAATAAGAGCACAGTGTGCTGCCTTGATGCTAGATAGATGGTAATTAGGAATACTGCTGGAAGATATTTATGGGAGGGTGGGGTGTTTGGACAGTACCCTGAACACTGGGATGCACTAAGCTTGAGAATTTCAACTCTGGACAGTAGCAGCAGCTCTTCTGTTGAAATGCCTACATGAATTATATACTGAGTCACTGCTGTGTGCTCAGGACTGTTTCAGGCCCTGAAGATACAGAGATAAATCATATCCAGCCCCAGCTACATGAACCAGCAGCCACACAATATGAAGGGCTGAGATAGAAATATTTTCTGGGAATTATGGAATATTGAGGAGGAAGAAATCTTGCTCTGAGTCTTAAAGGAAGAGTATGAATTTTCTTTTCTTTCTTTCTTTTTTTTTTTTCTTGAGACAGGGTCTCACTATATAGTGAGACTGACCTGGAGCCCAGGCTGGTTTCGAACTCACAATGATCCTCCTGCCTCAGCCTCCTGAGTGCTGGGATTACAGGCGTGCGCCACCATGCCCACCAAGAATATGAATTTTCTTGACTGATAACCAGAGAAACTGGCATTCCAGTGATAGGGACTGAAATCAGTAAAAGTATAGAGCAGGAAAATGCCTGATAGCATCATGCCCATGTGCTAGGGCAGTGGGAAGGAGATCATAAGCCACGGACTGGAGGTTGGACTATGGAGTTTGGGCTAAATTCTATGCCTGACAGATATGACCTTGCCTTCTTTTATTGTTTTTTTTTTTTTTTTTTGTACCAGGGATCGAACTCGGGTCCTTGTGCTTGTAAGGCAGGAGGTGGAACCACTGAGCTAAATCCCCAGCCCATCCTTGCCTTCTTTTGGAAAAAAGGCCTTCAATGTCTTTTTTGACCAGACCATCTACTCTGGTTGTCGACAGTGACCCAGGAGAGCTCAGTGCGCCTTGGCCTGAATCCAAAAGAACTGTCCCTGGTGAAATATAAACAGCAGTTCTCAAATGCCGACCAGGCATTGGGAAGGACCTGTAGGTAGTCAACTATTCTGGAGCTGGGAGGTGGATGGTCTGTGGAGTCCAGCCTGCCATCCAACGAAGTGGTGACACGTGCATCATGAGCTACTGCATTCCCAAAAGTCTCTGCTTGAACGCCCCTGAGAGGAACAGACACAGAGATGGATGGGGCATTGACAAAGCAGGAAAAGAACTAAGAACTCAGGAGAAGCTGCAGGCCCTCCTTCCGTGTGCTCTGGGCTGCCCAAGGCCCCCACTCTAAATGAAAAGGGGTCTATCTCTATGGGTTCTCCTCTCTGACTCAGAGCCTCAATCTGCCAGCGGAGGTCTTCCATCACTCCTGTCCCTTTGCTGCACAAACACCTCCTGTGGCGGAGAAGGAGGAGGGGGGAGCGGAGGATGGGCGGGGGAAGGAGGAGGAGGAGGAGCAGGAGGAGGAGGAGAAAAAAAAACATCCACGCTTGAGCCCTAGTTAACCAGAGAGGCATTCAGGGTGTCCAAAGACCACCAGGCTCTCCTCCAACCATGCCCACCCATTGTTTCCCAGCTCCCCCTGCCGGCAGACTCAGACACAGGCGACAACACACTTTATTCCTGAGAATCTCCAAAGGAGCGTGGGTGGGGTCAGCTGCTTTCCAGTTTAGGTCAAGGGGGCTGCTTGCTCGCTCAGCGGCTCCACGCGCAGCCATAGCCCTCCCTCTGCGCGCAGGATCAGCTCGGGCTTCCGGCGCGGCTCCGTGGCATCGGGCAGGACGCGGAAGCGCAGCAGAGTCAGCGCCAGCACCACCTTCATCTCCGCCATGGCGAAGGTCTGCCCGATGCAGTTCCTGCGGGCGGGGCGGGGACCGTGACTGCGCCCCGGACCATCCAGGTCCGTCCTGCCCGAACCTGTCCCGGACCGCACCCCTCCAGGGACTGCGAGGGGCACTAACCGTGCCCGGGCCCCATCTGGGCGTGTGTGTCCCCCAGCATGGCCCAGACTCCAGCGACCAACTCAGATCAGAGGTGAGGAATAGGGGCCTCTGAGCACTTGGCGGACCCCTCTTGCCCCTACCCACACCCATTCTCCACACCTTTGCGCATAAACTGTACAGAAGCCGCTGGAAGACGACGCGGACCTCTGACCAACCACAACTTGGGTTGATGTCCCCTCTGTCCCGCCCAGTCCCCGCCCCCGTCAGCCCTTGCCCAGCCCACGCCCACTGCCCTCACCTGGGCCCCGCGGAGAAGGGAATGAAAGCCAGAGGCGACCTGTCCTTGCTGTTCTCTGGGTCAAAGCGGAAGGGGTCGTAGACCTGGAGAAGACACCAAGCCCACAGGGAGAAAGGACTCAGGTGTGGCAGGAACAGATTTCCCTCCTCAGAACACCTCCCTCTCCTGTAGGCCGCTACAATAAAGAAGAATGGGGCCGGGGTGGGGGCCAGGGCAGAGGCAGCACCTCAGGGTCTGGCCACACAGCTGGGTTGTGATGGGTACCGAAAATACTGATGAGGCAGATGACACCTGTGGGAGAAGAAGAGGCCGTCAGGACAAGGACCCACGGCCTGATGGACCCTGATTCCTGCCCGGGAGCACCCCCCCCCCCGGGCGCGGGCGCATGGCACCTTTGGGGATGACCCGGCCGTCTGGAAGCACAACGTCCTGCGTGCAGCAGCGGGAGACGACTGAGACCGGGGGGTGCAGACGCAGGCTCTCCTTGATGCACATGGTCAGGAAGGGCAGCTGGGCCAGGTCCTCCCTAAGGAAACCACGACCCACAGCTGTCCAGGGAGGAGAACAGACCACTAGCTCTGCATTTCCCAGCAAAAACCTTTCTTCATATAATAATAATATAATCCCTAGATAGATCACATAATTGAGATTAGAAAAGCAAAAGAACAAGAAAAATATCCATTATCTGGGGCTGTCCTACGTCAAAGAAAGTGGGCGCCTGAAAGGCAGGTCCATGAGCTGGATCCTTCCCAGGTCTCTGCAGCACAGAAGGGGGTTGAGCGTAGAACTAGGGACGGAAAAGCGGAGGAATTATTTGCTGAAAGACAGCTGGATGCAAGAATGACACAGGTGGGCTAGACAACAAATAGATGACTTTTACCACCAGGGGTCGCTATGAATCCCCGGACTGGGTGTTAGAGTAGGAATTCAGGTGCAGGAGAAAAACAAACCTCCCGAGAGCAGAGATAGTCGAATACATGGTATTTGTTAGAAAAGCAAAGTAAAGGAGGTTACAGTTTATCTCCTGAACATGTGCAAAGTGGCATCATCTGCCCTCATATATTGTCACTAATTTTCTCAGCGGCCCAGATCTTTCTGTGTCAAAAGCTCTGACCTTTCCCTTTGCTTGCCAGGTTGGGTGCCGGGGCCTGTTTCTGGACTCAGCTCCTATGCTCAAGAGACAGTAATGGCAGAATCAGCAAAACAATAATCCCTCTGCCCCAGCTGCAGAGAAGCGTCAGTACAGGGGGCTCAGGAACAGGCCATGAGGACCTGACTCACCATTCAATCTCTTCAGGCTCACGGCCCCTCAGGAGCTCTCGCACCTCCTGCCGGCAGCGCTCCTGGTATTCTGGGTGCCTGGCCAGGTTGTACAGCACCCAGGAGAGACCACTGGCCGTGGTGTCGTGGCCTGAAGAACAGCCAGGCCGACTTGGGTCTCTGGGCCGTTTCAGCACCACGGGGTGGACAGCGCCCGCCCATTGAGACCCCGGGGAGGAAGGAGGGATGGAAAGCAGGGGCAGAATGGAGAGAGCCACGGTTGACCCACCACGTTCCCCTCACGGAGAGACCATGCACAGTCTAGAATCCCACACCGGAACCCTCACCCGCAAACATGAACGTGTCGGCCTCTGCTCGTACGTCCTCATCTGACAACTCCCTTCCATTTTCATCCTGGAGAGAAGGCAAGACCCTCTTGAAGCTCAGAATCTCTGAGGGGTCCAAGACAACCTATGGGGTTTATTCTTGCATCCAGAAATTCGCCTCTACTCATACCACTGGAATTATCTTGCTGGCCATTGCCAGAGTCCCCACCCAACAGACATCTTCTCTAGCTTCCTTTTCTCTGGTTGCAGCAATCAGTGATTAATGAATATTTTCATGTTTCTGTATATGAGGGATTTCTGAGATTTTTAATGGCAATCTGCTTTACAGAATGATTGAATAGCAATTTACCTGAACATTACAGAATATGTGAAAAAGATACCCACTCAGATTTGGGGGAAGTAAATCTAGAGAATCTTACTACCTCTGGAGGCATTGGTTTTGCAAGTTTATAGATTTGCCCTTTGCACTGAAGGAAACTTGTTTACACTCCAGAAATGCATCTGCATTCTCCCTCTCTCCTTAATCTTTCTCTTTTCTGGAGGGAAGAAGAGGCAAGGTGTATCAGCTCCACAACTTATAATGCTCCAGCTTTTCTTTTCGGATCTAAACCCAGCTACAATGCAGGTATAAAGACTGCATGCACCAGGGAAGGAGAGTTAAGAAGGGGAGACTTTGCTACAGTACTGCTGTGTTTGCTGTTCTTGCTGTAATAAATGGGCTGCTTGATCAAAGATCTTAGTGCACCTATCAACACAGACATAAACACAGGCATAACTGTGGCACCTTATTGCATTATAGTGACTTGCAGAACAAAGCCTCAAGCCCTTCATAGTTTCAGACTTAGAGTTCTACTTCTGGCAGTATTTCAGAGTTGTCTCTAAAATTCACCCCTCTCTGGCTTGTTCTCCCCTTCCTTGATATTCTCCGGATCCAGCCCTAGTGATTTGATCTGATACTAGGCATAAAGATCCACTATATCTGTTTCTTACCATCCCTCCTTTATTTTGGCTCTTTATTTACATTTTGGAATTTTTCATATAAGAGAAACCATGCGATATTAAACCTTCTGTGTCTTCCCCCCCTTTTATATCATGGTCTTAAGATCAATCTGTTTTCCTACAAAGGACTCAAATTTATACTTCTTTGTGACTGAGTAATTCTCCATTGTGCATATATACCACACTTTCTTTATCCATTTATAAGTTGTTGGAAATGTAGGCTGTTTGTATAATTTAGCTACTGAGATTTGCACTGCTATAAACATGGGTAGGCATGATGTGTCTATTTAAATGACATTTAGACATTTAGAGATGGAGAAAATGATCTGGGGAAGGGAGAGGAATGGAGGATGAAGGTAAGGGGATCAAAAGTGATCAAGATTAGATGTATACAAAATAAACTACATATAAACATTTACATTTATTTTGATGAGGTATGTATGTATCTATAGTATGTATATATGTATGTGTGTCTATATACTGACTCACCAAAATAAATGTTAATATTTATTTTATGTATATGTATATATTATATATGCATAGTCTATATATAATAGACTATACATATACTAACTCACCAAAATAAATGTATTTATTATGTATCATGAACATATAATTCATTGTACCTCTTTTTTTTTTCTTCTTCTTTTCTGGTACCAGAGATTGAACTCTGGTCCTGTGAGGCAGGCGGTGGAACCACTGAGCTAAATCCCTGGCCCTCATTGTACCTCTCGAGAAGCCCACCTTGCTCAGCAGGAGCACATCAATGAAGTCCAAAGTTTTGGACCTGGCCTTGGCCTTTAGGAAGTCGTCGATCCCCTGATTGGGGAGGCTGCATCGCCGCTCCTGGATGACAGCATCTGTGAAGTCATGCACCAGACGGCAGGCTGTACGGAAGCGATGCCCATCACAGGTGAGATGGTACAGGAAATCCGGGTGCAGCAAGAGCTGTTGGTGCCTTTTGGCCACCAGGGCACTAAGCTCCAAGATGGCTGCGATATATTTACTAGGCTTCCTGTGTAGTGATAGCATACAAGAAAGAAATAACTTACCAGGCTGGAAGTCAGGCAAGCACTTCACACCATCGGCTTGGAGCTATGCCCCACCAGGAAACTGAATATCAACAAAGAGATGGCCTCACAGCCACGTGGTCGGGATGCTATGGGACTTGACATCCACAATTTCATCTCTCTGCATCCTATCTCTATGAGCTCTCTCTAAACCCTGGGCAGCCAGAACCTAATGTGAACGTTGTTCTCACCTCTTCTCTCCTACCCAGGATCCAGTTGCGCCCATTCTCCTTCCTGCAACTTACACAGCTCAGACTTCACCCTCTTCCAACTGGTCAGCGACCCAGCGCTCTCCACATCCTTGAGTCTGTGTCAACTCCACCCACTGTCTACAAGACACGCGGTGTTTCACAGAACTCAGCTCTGATCATGTCCATCATCACCTCTGAAACCTTCACTGGTTCCCTAGTGACTCATGATAAAGTTCACACCACTCTGACAAGCTTTTCAATGTCCTTAAGGTCTGCCACTTCCTACCCCTCCAACCTCATTTCCAAGGTATCTCCTCACTGTCTATTGCATAGACTTTACTCATTGAAGCCCCTTGCCTTTACTAAGACAAATCCACCTATCTGAAAGGACCAATCTCGCTCCTTTTCCCTGCTATTCAATGCCAGGCCTCATCCACCTTCTCCAGAATCTTCTGGTCCCTCTGGTCCTATCCTCCCTTCCCCACCTCCTCCCTTGGCTCCATGGCCCAGGTTCCAAGCCCAGGGAAAGGACTCACTCCTGACAGTTGCTCTCGAAGCTGAACACACATTTCTGCAGACTGTCCAAGGTCATCAGGCTGATGAGCTCAAACATGTCCAGACGGGCGCTGCCCTGGGAGATCAGGCGCTGCCACTTGGCCTGGCCAGAAATGGGAATGGGGCTGTGGCTGAGTCTTGACTGTTTTGATCCCTCTTTAACACCAACCACCAAGACAGATTTCCCAGAACCAGCTTCCCGACCCTCAGCCCCAGGTACCCAACCCCAGAAAAGACCGAGCTTGGATGACAGTGAAAGCCAGTAGGAAAGGAAACCCCAAGGCTGGCAGACAGAAACCCTGAGTTCAGGTCCCAGCTCTGTGTCCCACATCTGCTATATGCTTGGTAAACTCATCACCTTCCCTGAGTCCCCTCATGTCAAATCTTCAGCAACAGTTAAGTTCAACTTCTTTGGTGTCATTTATGCCAAGACAGAACCCCTACTCCACCACTCCTAGTTCACTTACAAACTTGAGCAAGCTCCTAATCTTTCTGACCTTCGTATTCTCCATCTGTAGCAGGCAAAAGTAATCTCCACCCCACATGTAATGAGAGTTAAATTTCGCATGTATTACAGAATGGGCATGCAGCATCATTTCTAATATATAAGGAGTGCTCAGTAAATCTTACCTAGCTTATTTTCATTGTGATAACTCAATAAAATACTCCTCTCTTGAAAGATAGTCCTCCCTTGGCAGTGAGCGTCTTTCCTGATATGACAGGAACACACTGCACTGATGTTCCTAACTCAGGCCATTTCTCAGACACGTGTTGGCAAAGAAAAACATCCAAGGATAAGGGAATTAATCTCCTTGGACAGATAGCAAGCTTGTTTCTGGATGTTAAAAAAAGCAGAATTTGACCAAAGAATCTTAGATCTTCTGGCAGAATTCATAAAAAATAAACAGTAAGACTCTAATTTATCAGCTTGCAAGAAGGAAAAAGGACTCATTAAAACCCTCACCAGCAACCCATACCTTCCACCTGTGCATTGTGGTTGTATTTTTATTTTTCACTAGTACATGTTTGCAGTACATAATGTTTACATTCCTTGTGTGGAGTTGGTGTATGTACATCACACATATTAATTTCTATTTTTCATTCCCTTTCCCTCCCTTCCTCCGTCACTTGATTCCCTTCCATCTGAGGAAGATTATCTCCTTACTTCCTATTATCTATCTTATGTTTTTTTATGCTCTTCATTTATAATTTAGTTTCTCACATGAGAAAACCCTTGTGATATTTAAGCTTGTGTGTCCGATTTATTTCACATAACATTTATGGTCTCAAGGTGTGACACGATTACTCGGCTATTCCTGTTAAGAAGTGGGCTCAATTTTATCTCCCATTTAATTCTGTACTAGACTTTTGACACATGTGGTGAAACTAAGGAGGTCATAACTTCAATAAATCTAAGCTTAAAGAGGCCTTAACATTTTCCCTGGCTCCCACTGGATCCTGTCTCTGTCATGTGAACAACTTCAGGATGTCTTTTGAGAGTCTCGTTGTCCTAAATGAGGCCATTCTGAATCAGCTTGAAGTTGGAAAAGCCTCAAACATGGGAGAGAACTGAGCCATAATCAGCAAATCTCCCTGTATGACCCACAGTTGATCATAAATCAGCAGTGTTCCGATGCTCTTACTGAAGAAATAGCCTCCTGACCTATACATTTGCTAGCATCTGTAAGTCTTTCCTGCTTTGAACCAATGAATTTGGAAGTGGCTGGTTACCCAGTAATAGTTTCTATGAGCTGTTCATCTTTCCTGTGACCAGTTTACAGGACTTCAAAGAGATAAATATGGAAACTAAACCCTTCTAAGCCTCTACCATGTGCCACGGTCATGATGCCATTACATCCTCTGGGCCACACTAGAAGCAGAGGATTCCATCCTTATTTTACAGATAAGGAAACCCAGACTAAGAAAGAAAGAGCAGTGGCCTCAAAGCAACCTATCATAGCCAGGACTCTAGGCTTGGTCTGTCTGTGCCCCGCAGGCTCCAGCTGGCACCCTGGGCTCAAGGACTCACATGCATGACTTTTGTGCTATCAGTGAAAATCTTCACGTAGGGCTTCAGGATGTTGAAATGGAAGGCGGGTGTCAGCATGCGACGGTGGCGGCTCCACTTGTCACCAGCACTCAGCAAGAGCCCATCCCCTGGTGGGGCAGCCATGGGCAGTGGGCAAAGGCAGCCCCTTCCCTGGTCCCCCCGGCTGTCCCCCAGCCCCTTTACCTGCAGGTACTCACCCAGCCAGGGTCTCAGAAAGCTGTAGAAGACCACGTCCTTTAGGGCAATGGCAGCTGACATGAAGAAGAGACATCAGGGGCCATGGAGAAGAGAGATTCACAGTCATGGGGGGAGGGAGTGGGAGGCTCCCAGTAAGGGGCCTGCGCTTCCCCCTCCCAAGCCTATCATGACAGGAAAGGATCCAGGGACAAAGGAAGCTTGCAGGAGTGGAAACATGAGAGAGGACCAAACTGGGTAGCAGCAGCAGAGCAGAGCGACATTACAGCCTAACGTGACACAACATATCCCAGCACACCTTGACGTGGCTCCTATATGGTCCAACACGTTCTGCAACAACCAAGGACAGAAAACACTCTGTAGAGATCTTTACAAAGACCTATGACGCTCTGTCCACCCTCTCAGTCTCTGACACCTCCCGCCATAGACGTGGGACATTAATACAGACATCTCCTGACATAACAACATGTATGACCTTCCTTGACTTGACACAGCATGCTCTAATATGGACCAGGGATGATAGAAAATGACTTCAGGATCACCCACAGACAATCTCCAGTAGGATTAAAGCATGACCCTACTAATATCAGAGGTAGAGCCCACATGTGACTCACCTAGACCTTGGACACCATCTGGATGTACTTTAATACCAGCCCTCGACCATCCCCAAACACAGCTGAGATGTGACCAGAATGACAAAAAGACAATGTCAAACAACAGCTGAGACAAGAACCAGACAAACCCTAAAATACCGCTCTTGTTATTGGTCATAGCTGAACCCCAGACATGACACTCGTGATAAAATCCAACACAACACACCCGGGATAACCAGGATCCAAGTGTAAACATGCATGACAAGACTCAGCACTTCGGCAGCCATGGCCATACAGCAGCTGTCACAAAGACACTTTTTAGAGAAAAGCAGACAACACCAGAGCTCAGAGGTGGGCTCAGGCGAGGCAGAGGCAGGGGCATCAAGGCCGCTACCCCTCCTGCCTACCCATGTTCTCCCAGGCAGCTGCAGGCAGGACAGAGACCTCAGTGACAGGGAGACTGGGGCTGCTGTGGTGTCTACCTGGAGCAAAGAGCACAGGCTTGATGCAGGAGGGGTGAAAGATGCGGACGACCGCGTGGCAGGGCCCTACCCACCAGCAGCACACATCCCTGTAGGTGCGTGCCAGGCCCTGGGTGTAGAGGAGACCTCCCTCTGAGCTCTGAATCTGGAAAGAACAAGAAGACCCAATGCACACTCCTCTAGGCTGATGCAGATAGAGGTGCAGCACAGGGACCCAGATGGAGACCTGGGAGTCACCCCCAGCAGCTCATCGTCCTTGTGTTGAGCTCTTCCCGGCCTGCCTGACCTCATTCCCCATACACAGCAATCCAGGTCCCTGGGTTACAGGGACAGAAAAACTTCTGCTTTGTTTGGATCCCAAACACCACCTTCACCTGGGTTCTCTTCTATCCCCTTCTTCTAGATAAAGACACTGAGGCTCTGAATGATGAACACATTTCCCAAATGCTAAGAAGTAGCTCTGAGTCCCAATTCTGGGTCTTTCTGAATCACAGCCTGAGTTCTTAACCATTAAACAACTTTGTGTTTCCCAAACCCATAGCACTGGGAGCTGTCCTTGTCAACACTGGGCAATCAGAGTCACAGTGATTGTAGAAGAAGTTTGTCCTGTGATTGGGGCCAGGACAACTAAAATGAATTATAGTTCATTAATGGAAACTCTGGGGGAAAAGCTGAGCATCGCAGTAGAACTGAATTTCTTGGACTTATCCTTTAGATTATAAGGTAAAGTCTACCTTGAAAGGAAAAGTGACATCAGAGAAGGTAAAACCAGGAAGAGGCAGATGCTTGATGATCTGATCCTGTGTGTAGATCAAACTGACTCCATTTTTTAAAAAAGTGACTTCATTTTGTGATTAGGCCACCACTCAGTTACTAGAAAAGCCTCAGAGTGCCCTGTTGACCCAGTTCTCGGAAAAACCCATGACAGTTCTTGTAAACTATAACCAGGTGTCCTTCTCTGTTAATCTTGCAAGAACTTGTGGTTGGGACAGGGAGGGACATCTGGCCCTGGCCAATAGAATAGAAACACTTCTGCCTTTGCCCAATGTTAACCAATCAGGCACTGACCCATCTAGAAAGTCCCTAGTTCCGCTTCTTTTGTTGATAAAAACCCTGTTTGAAATCGGGTTCGAGGCTCTTGGTACAGAACCACTGTGTCAGTGAGGACCCGGAGTCCAGGCTCGAGCTTGCAATAAACTCCTCTTGTGATTGCATCGGACTTGACTCCTTGGTGGTCTTTGGGGATATCGTGATCTGGACACAACACTGCTCGAGACCTGGACCCACGCATTGACTGTGGACACCTCCAGCCCTACACACTAAGTCTTTGAAGTCTGTAGATTTCCTCTCTTTTTATAGACTGCAAGATGGTGAGTTTCTACCACTCACAACTGAAAGAAATCTTGGCATCGAAAAGACCCCTAAGATCTGCCTAGTATCACCCAGCATTTTGGTGTCAGAGCCATGTTTTCTGAGAAATATGCCTACTCAGTTCAGCCTGTACAAGGATTGCAAGGTCAGAGGAAAGGAGCCAGGCTGGGAAGGGATCTCCTAGGTGTGGGGAAGAGTCCTGAGGCCTGGAGCAGGACGGCAATGACCATCTGGAGAACAGGCCACAGGATAAGGTAGAAGGACCAGCCCAGCAGAGCTGGGTGTTAGGAGAAGAACAGCCCAGCCTTCACACAAATTGCAAACCCTCTTAATTGCTCTGGGTCCGTGCATGGGCAAGGTTGATGCCAGGCCTGGGAGGGAGCCCTGGGTGCTTCCCATGTGCAATGCACCAGCTGCTCCTGCTTACAAACCTTCCTACCCATCTTTCCAGAACTTCCTCAAGCAGCTCTTCCTCCAGAAAGCCTTCCAGCCCGCCCCAATAGAGACCTCACGTGTCCACTCACGGTCCATCTCCCTCTGGCCCGTTCCTGCCCACTTGAGGTTGGGAACATCTCTGTTCAGATCCATCTCCTCAAGACCGAGAGTTCCTCCAGGACAGGGCCTTGGGACGAGGCCTCATGGTGCTCCAGGAGTGCCCAGAACATCAGTAGGGGGACGGGGTGTGACAGGTGAGGAAGGAGACGGGGAAATGGGGACTGGTGAGCCTAGGAAAGGAAGCGGGAGAAGGCCGAGAGAAGAGAAAAGGAGGAGCCCAGATGCTGCAGGGGCCACATAGAAGGGTGGGGGGACAGAGGCTGGAAGCCCCTGCGTGAACTGTAGCACCCACCACAAGTGCCACGTGGGTACCTGAGGCACTGAGGACAGCTCGGATGATGTCAGGGTGGCACAAATTGACGATGGGAAAGATGGGTCCCATCCACATTTTAAAGCCCCGGGAGTAGGTGTCCACCAGCTTAGTCAGTTCTTTCAAGCCCTGTTCTGTGGGAGGGACCTGCAAACAAGGCAAAGTCAGTCGCTTCCTGAGGGGGTTCATTTAAAATGTCAACTGGGATGGGCTAAGGGACTCCCAAACAGTTGATGAAACCTGATCTCTGGGTGTGTCTGCAAAGCCCTTTGCAGAAGAAATTAGCATTCGCAACAGTAAAATGTATAAAAAGCCCCTCTCCTCAGGGTAGGGGAGGAATCATCCAACCCACTGGGCTCCAGGTAGAACAATGTAAAGCAAGGGCAAAATCACTTCCTCTTCTGGAGCTGCAACACGTATCCATCTTTCCTGCCCTTGGACATCAAAGACTACAGAGTCTAGGACTTACAGTATCAACTTCACCCTACCCAGTGTAGTCAGGACTTTGGAATCACACTGAATGATTACACCATGAACTTCCTGGTTCTGCAGATTCCAGATGGCAGTGGGACTTCTTATCTCCGTAACTACATGAGGTGATGGGAATGCACGCACACATACATACAGGTGCACGTATATATACCAGATCTGTACATGAACATATATGTGTGTATGTGATGCTGTATGCACAATCATGTGCTGTATAGTGATATTTGTATAGACAACCTATGAGATTAGCCCCACAAGGTTATAATGGAGCTGAGAAATTCCTTATCCCTAGTAAGTTTATTGTATTTTTATATTTAGATACTTTTAAATACACAAATACAGCTAGGCATGGTGGTGCGTGCCTGTAATCCCAGCACTTGGGAGGCTGAGGCAGGAGGATCGCTGCGAGTTCGAGACCAGCCTGGGCTACATAGTGAGTTCCAGGTCAGTCTCAATTTAGACTCTGTCTCAAAAAACAAAACACAACAAAAAACAAGTACACAAATACTAATGTGTTACATTACTCACAGTATCCAGAATAGTAACCTGCTGGACAGCTTTGTATACTAGGACCAATAAGTTGTACTCCATAGCCTAGGTGTGTAGTAGGCTACACCGTCTCAGCGTGTAAGACACCTTCTATGATAGTGGCACAAGGAGAAACTTGCCGCAGGATGAATTTCTCCAAATCAGTCCCGTTTGTTAAGTGACACAGGACTCTCTGTGTGGATGTGAGTGTTTGTCTCATTGGTTCTGCTACTCTGGAGAATTCTGACTTCAAAGCAATACTAGGAGCCACGGCAGGTGCCTCTTTCAGCCTCTGGAGGGAATGCAGACGCTGTAGTGAACATGTGCCTGGGTTTTTAAGGAGACAGGAAATCTCTGTACCCTTGTCCGCAGGCTAGTTTACAAGCAGCAGTGTGGCTTCTTTTACATCCTCTCGCATCCTAACTGGTCCATGCCACCTGCAGTTCCTCTCATGGAGAAGAGTCCACACTCTAGAGAATTTCAGTAGAGGTAGACTTCAGGAGAGCAGAGGTGACCTCTGAAGTCTCCGTCAGGGTGGCACCTTTCACCTGTGAGCACCTGCAGTGCACCAGGCTCTGGAACGGAGCATCCTCTGCAAAAGCTCGCTGAACCTGTGCACAAACCCAACAGCTATTCCCTTTACGAGTAAAGCAAGCAAGGCCCTGTCACTTACAGGGTTGAGCAGATCTAAACAAAAGGCCGAAGTGTGTCCTGAGGGAGTGGGGAGGGCATCACAGAAGGCTTCTGAAAGGGGAAATGTATGGTAAACTTTTAACCAAGTTGGGCAACAAGGCTCATTGTGACACATTAGGGGAAGAGAATAAGATTAGATGAAGGCACCAAGGAAGAGGAGCGGGGAGGAGCCCATAACCCTCTTGGGGGAGGAGAAGCACCTGTGTCCCTGTATTGTTTGAGGGAATCAAATTCCACTCTGTGAACGAGCAGAAACCTAGAGATGGGCTGAACCAGGGACATAATTCAGGCAGGGAGCAGACCCTGAACAGTGCCTCTCACCAGGCCTCAGGTCCAGCAGAGGAGAACATAAGAACACAAGAGGCCTTCACTCTGTGCAGCTCACCCTGAGGGCCCCTCACAGGTGCACCAATGTGGGGAAGCCTGGTTCCAGGTACAAATGAATACAAAGCAGGCTGTGGGTGAGAGGGCGGGGATGAGAGACGGGCCTGGGATGGGACAAGCATGGAGTGAGTGTCCCACGCCAATGAGCGAGTCACCTCCCTTGCTGTCCTGGACCAAGACCCCCTCCTGGACCCCAGCTTCCTGATCCCCTTCCTGATCCCTTAGAGATCCATCCACCCTGGTGCCTCAGACCCTCCTGTTGCCTCACTCACCAAGCCCAGGTGACCCACGAGCCAGTTCCGTTTGGGGGGCTGAGGGAAACATCGAAGGCGATGAGATTTTTCATAGAGGGCATACATCCAGGTCAGAATTTGGGCCAGGAGCCAGGCGGCTCCAACCAGCAGCCCAATCAGCCAAGGGGAGGCTGTGACCGACCCCAGTCCCAGCCAGGACAGGCTCAGCTGTGTCATCCTGCAGGACAGAAGGGACAGAAGGGGAGTTTTTGAGTTCCAATAAGGGGACAGGGACCTCCAGGGGTGCTGGACAGGGGTAATGCTGTGAGAAGGGCAAGGAGGGCTCAGAGAGGGGAGAATGATTCAGGGGAATATAGGGAAAAAGGGAAAGGAGGAAGAGGAAGAAGGGCAGGAAGAGGAAAGTGAGAAGGAGAGAAGACAGGGTCTGATTAGAATGCAAACCTGCCTGAGGGATAGAGATGGCCCTGGACTCTCACCCAGAAACCAACAGTCTCCTTGTTCAAATCACTCCATGGACCCCCCTTCCCCAGCTTTGGCCAGTACCCTTCCCACCCTGGACCAGAACCTTCCAGCCCAACCAGCCCTAGCCTGTCACCTTCTTTCAGGAGTTGCTTGCCCTCACAGATCGTTCATCACACTTCTGAGTCTTATGTAACTCGGGCTGCTGACTGGGAGGACACTGTAGGAGGCTGGACCAGGCTGAGCTACACCAGCCAATCCCCACTGTTTCAGCTGCCTCCTCCCTGCCTGGGCAGGTGGCCAAGTCATGGGGGGCAGGGAGAACTAGGTACAGAAAGTAATCAGCTCAGAATCACACAGCACTGACATAGACCCTTAGAACTTGGCACCTTGCTAGTGGGGTTGGGGGCAAGATTGTGGAAGGGGCAAGGGTGACTGCATGTCCGTGAGCTTACAGCCACCTCCGCCTTTCCAAGGCCAGGGTGGAGTAGGTAAAAGCACAGGCTGGAGATTTCAGGTGCCAGGAGACTGGGACCAGTCCAAGCCTTGTCCTAGAACATCTCCTGACCTTCTCTCCAAGTATGAGCTGGGAGCGTGACATAAGACATCCTCAGTGAAGAATTAGGGGTTCCAGAGGTGGAAGCTTTTAAAATTCTTTATTAATATTTGTTTGTAGTGTATAGTAAATATACTTGCTGTGGAGCATTGGTACATATGCGTATCACATTTAAAAGCTTTACTTCCCATTTCCCTCCGTCCCCAGCACCCCCCATCTCCTCCAAATTTACTCCCTGTTTCATATCACCTATCTTTTATTTTGCTCTTGCAATTATTTATACTTTGGATTTCTTATATAAGAGAAACCATGAAATATTTAACCCTCTGTACGACTTACTTCATTTAATGTTATGATCTCAAGGTACAACTATTTACCCAAATTTATCCTTCTTTATGGAAGAATAGTACTCATTATTTATAAACGTCAGATTTCTTTATCCATTGATCCTTTGCTGAGTATGTAGGCCACTTTTTTTTTGTTTTTTTGTTTTTGAGACAGGGTCTCACTGTGTAGTTGAGACTCACCTGGAACTCGCTATGTAGTCCAGGCTGGTCTTAAACTCACAGTGATCCTCCTGCCTCAGCCTCCCAAGTGTGGAGATTACAGGTGTTCGCCTCCAAGCCCGGCTCTAAGCCACTTCTGAGATGTAGCTATTCTGAGTCGTGCTGCTATAAACATGGGTATGAATGCATCACTGTAACATGATGTCTTTAACTCTTTCAGGAAGATACCTAGGAATAGCTGGGTTTAATGGAATTTCTATTTTTTAAGGAATCTCCATACTGATTTTCTATGGTTGTACTAGTTTATATTTCAGCCGTCATTGTAGAAAGATTCAATTTCCCTCACAACCTCGCCAGCAATTTTTGGTTTTTTTTTTTAGTTTGTGGTGATAGCCATTCTTACTGGAGTAAGATGAAATTTTAGCATTTTTGATTTGCATTTCTCTGATGTCCAAAGGTGCTGAACATTTTTCCATGTACACTTTTGTAGTTCTTATTTTGAGAAGTAACAGTTTATTTCAACTGCCCATTTTTATGGGGCCTTTTATGACGGGGGTCTAATTTTTGAGTTCTTTATATATTGTTTGTGTGTATTAGTACTCTGATCAAGGAATTGTTTGTTTGTTTGTTTTGTTTTTTTCCATTTTGCTGTTTATTTCTTTGCTCTGTTGTTTTTTTCCTTTGCTGTTCTAATTTGAAATAAACTTTTAAATTTGATATAATTCCACACATTGATTGTTGAGGTTATTTCTTATGCAATTGGGATTCTGTTCAGAAAGGCCTTTGCTTTTCCTATGTCTTCTAGAGTTTTACCTATTCTGTCTTCCAATAGATTTAGTATTTCTGCTTTTATATCTAAGTCTTTCACCCATGTCGATTAAGTTTTAGTACAGGGTGGGAGACATAGATCTAGGATTCACTCTTTATAGGTAGATAATCAGTCTTCCCAGCACCATTTGTTAATATGTTTTCTTCAGCATATGTTTTTGGCCTCTTTGTCAAAGGTCAGGTGGCTGAATGAATCTGGAGAGGTTGCTGTATCCTCAGTTCTGTTTCACCGACCAACATGTCTGTTTTTGTGCCAATATCATGGAGCCTTTTAAAAAAATCTCACTGTAGCTTTATAATATAGATTGAAACCATAAATTGTGATGCCTACTGATTTGCTCTTGTTGCCTGGGGTTGTTTTTGCTATTCTGGGTCTCTTCTGCCTCCGTATGAATTTTGAGATTGGTTTTTTTTTTTCTAGCTCTGTGAATAATTTTGTTGGTATTTTGACTGGGATTGCATTAAATCTATATATTTTCAGTATTCTGAACATTTTTATTATTTTGTTTCTGCCTGTCCAGGAACATGGGGTGTCTTTCTGTTTTCTGACGTCCTCTTGACTCTCTTTTTTGATAGCACTATAGTTTTCATTAAGGAAGCTTTCAAATTCCTTTGTTAGGTTAATTTCTAGGTATTTCTTAGGCTATTGTGATTGGAATTGCTTTCCTGATTCCTTTCTATGTGAGTTGTTTGTGTACTAGAATGCTACTGATTTTGGTGTACTGATTTTGTATCCTGCCTCTCTGCTGAATTCATTAGATCTAAGAATCTTTTGGTGGAGTTGTTGGGTTTTCTATTAAACTATCATGTCATTTGCAAATAATGACAATTTGGCTTCTCCCTTTCCTATACATATCCCTTTTATTTCTTTCTCTTCCCTGATTGCTCTGGCTAAAGGTTCAGGGTATGGTGAGAGTGGACCCCTTTTCTTGTTCCTGCTTTTAGAAGAAATGTTTTTGTTTTCCCCCTATTTGGTATAATATTGGCAATGGATTTGTCACAACTGCCTTTTCTCAATTTGAGTTAAGGTGCTTCTTTATCAGAGTTTTTATCATGAATATCAGATTTTGTTAAAGATCATTTCCATACCTCTTGAGATAACATATTGCTTCTGCTTTTTTTTTTTTTTTTTTTGGTACTGACGATGGAACTCCGGTCCTTGTGTTTTCGATGCAGGCGGCAGAACCACTGAGCTAAATCCCCAGCCCTCCTTGCTTCTGTTTATGTTATGTATTGTTTATTGATTTACATATATGTTGAGTCATTCTTGCATCCCTGGGATGAAGCTAACTTGGTTGTGATGTATTTTGTTTGCCAGTACCTTGCTAGATACTTAGATCTACAATTTTTGGATCTACATGAATTAATGAGAAAGACTCGTAGTTTTTTGGTTAAGTTCTTCTCAGGACTCTTGTCAGGGTTCGGTATGAGAGAAATGCTTGCTTCCAGGAGTGAGTTTAGCAGTGCTTTTTCTCCTTCAACTTCATGGAAGAGTTAAAGGAGTATTGTAATTAGAGCTTCCCTGAAGATCTGTTAGACTTCAGCAGTGAATCTTTCAGGTTCCAGGCTTTTCTTAGTTGGTAGGGTTTTTATTACTGTCTCTATTTCATGGGCTGTTCTTTGTTTATTCAGGGCTTTATGTTTTCTTCATTCAATTTTAATAATTCATTTGATAATGCATTTCTTCTAACTTCTCCAAGTTATTGGAATATAAGTTTTCAAAATATTTTTTACTGTCATCTAGATTTTTATAGTGTCCATTGTAATTTCACCGTTTTCATTGCTAGTTGTATGGATGTGGGCTTTTTCTTTTCTTCTTTTGATAAGTCTGGTGATGGATTTATCAATTTTTGCTTATCTTTTCAAAGAGTGTACTCTGACTCACTGATCATTTGTATTGTGCTTTTAGTATCAGTTTCTTTAATTTTCACTCTGATCTTTATAATTTTTTGCCATCTTCTACCTTCAGATTTGGGTTGCTCTTGTTTCTCTAGGGCCTTGAAATGCATCATTGGGTTATTTATTTTGGATTTCTCTAGTTTTTTAATGTGTGCATCAAAGCTATAAAGTTCCCTCTTAGGACTGTTCTCTTTGTGTCCCATTGCTTTTTCTATGTTTTTTCTATATTCCATTGTCATTTGATTCTAGAAGCATTTTTATTTCTTCCCCTTTTTTGTGATTATTCAATAATGCATTATTTGATCTCCATATGTTTGTTGGTTTCTGTGGTTTCTTCTGCTGTTGATTTCTAGTTTCATTCTACTATGATCCAATGATATGAGAGGGGTGATTTCACTTCTTTTGTATTTATTTAGACACACTTTATGGTTTAAGGTATAGTATAATTTTGGAAAAATTCCTTGTGCTGCTGGGAAAAATGTGTATTCTGTTGTTGTTGGATGAGATACTCTGTAGATATCTGGTAAGTCCATTTACTCAGTGCTGTGCTTTAACTCTGATGTTACTTTGTGATTTGTTGTCTGATTGATTTGCCTAATTGTAAGTGTGAAGTATTGAAGTTCTGACTATGATTGTACTGGTGTCTGTCTGTCCTCTCAATCCATTAGTTTTTGTTTTTATGAAGTTGGTTGTGTACATATTTAAAATAATTATCTACTCCTGTTGAATTGCTCTCTTTTCCAGTCTGGTTTGACAAAAATGCTTTCTTTTAGGGCTTAAAAAACTTTACTTGAAGCTCTCCTGATCTTTAAAGTTTGTGCTGAGAAATCTACTACTCTTCTGATAGGGTTATCATTATAGGTTACTTGCTCTTTTTCTCTAACAACTTTTAGTATTCCCAGTTTTTGTTGCATTTCTGTAATTTTTATGTTGTGTCATAGAGAAGTTCTCTGCTTGTGTTTTTTTCTGAGGTTTTATGCACATGTTGTACTTTAATATTATATTATTTCCCTAGATATAGGATTATTTTCTGCTCTTATTTTGATGGGTAATTTTTTTACAGCTTTTGAGTCATCGTCTCATTTTTCCTCTATTCTTTTCATTATGAGATTGTTTTTTTTTTTTGAGCCATCAACATGCTGTTGAATTCAGTTTCCTTGGTGTCTTGTTTTTGGAGTATCACTGAGTACATGATCTATTATATCAACCTTATCTTAAACTTCTGACACTGCCCTCATATTGGTCAAATCTGTTATCCATACTTTCCATTGAATTTTTCATATCTGAATTTCTGCTTCATTTCTCTTCATAATTTCTTATTCCTTACCACGATGGTCACGGATATCTTGTATTGTCTTATTTTAATTCAGTCAACTTATTGTGTGCTTATTCTTTAAGCTCACTGAACATTTTAATAATTAAATTGTC